TTTATGATCTTAAAATAATTTGTAATTTATAAAAAATTTTATTCGTAATCAATAAATAATTTGTGATCCAGTAGTATAGAATTGTGATATTAATATATTTAGTTAATAAAATGTATTTTTAATTAATTTTTTCATAAATAAAATTTACTTAGTATCTTATTTTTGAAGTTTTAAACCATATTTCTTAGGGCTGTTTGTTTCTGATTTTTTGTTCAACAAAATTGATTTCTTGACTGTTATTGTGCAACTAATGTGAGGAAAAAGTCAAAAAAGGGGGGCTGCCAACAGTAAAAAAAAAAGGACATAAAATCTTGCTTACAATTTCTTTTAGGGTTCGTTTGATTGCGAATGTAGAAAATTTGTGGAAATGAAAATGAATTCCAAGGAATTGAATTGCCTAAAAATTGTTATATTGGCAATTGTAATTAATTGTTTGATTGGTATAATTGTCCACCTGAAAAATATTGAAAGTTTGGTCTCCGTTTGGTTTCATTTTTTTATGAAAATTATCCATTAAAGTGATAATTTTTTCTACCATTGAGTTTAGAATTTGCCAAAAAAAATTACAATACCGAATACCATTCGTTTGGCTTCATTTTGCATGAAAATTGTAAATAAAAGTGATCAATATTTTTATCATTGTGTCTAGAATTTTTTTTAATTGCAAAAAAAATTAAATTTTTTTTAAAAAAATAAAGCAATTCCATTTTGCCAAGAAAATGGATTCTCACCACTTTGGCAAGAAAGTCAATTCCTTAAAAACATGGAAAATAGGTTGATGTGACACAAGTAAGGAAAGACAATTCTATGGCAAATTTTGTCAATCAAATAAGTCAAAAAGTGATAAATGGAATACATTTTCCTTTGAAAATTAGGCTTATCAAACACAACCTAAAATTTGAAATTTTTCCTATTTTTATTTGAGGAAATTACATCCTCATAGGTTTTTAAGTTTCCATTTTCAAAAATACAGAATCAATTTTAATAATACATAAATCAGATTTTAATTAATAATTTTTAAATTA